TATCTGCTAAGTAACTTACAAATATTTATGCATGATGAGAGAAATAACTAGTACCATTAGAATACTCCAGAGTAAATATGATTCATCACATGGATAAATATTGATCTTATATTATCCAACTCATTATCAGAAGGATGGATAATAAGTATATCTATCCATTAGCGCATATTACACAAATGGTAGTTTTAGTCTCTTTAAACAAAGTATTTAAAGTAGCATGTGGACTTTTTGCAAATAATACTTCGTCGCAAGCATAAGTTACTTGTCTGTTCGGTAATAAAGAAGGCAATTGAATTGGTTGTTAGAATATAAAATTAGCTCTACAAGCATTATTTAGTTTTAGGATGAGTAAGACGCTCACGAAATTTAACATGAAGGAAATTAGTTTTGAGAATTATTACTGTACACAAACATTAATTATTTAAAATAATTTCTAAAGATCCCTCCCTTTCTCAAGCTCAGCAATCACTAGTAGCCACTCTACAATGATACATGGAAGACGAACTTAAGGAATATTTGGAGAATTTCAAATTTATGCTTCAAAACAAGCTTAACAAGTTCCATTGGTCGAATAAGATGGAGAGCATTCTTGTAATCATTATTTAACACAATACAAAGTGCATCAACACAAAATGCTTATCAAACTGAGATTACAAGCATGGCTTCGGAAATGTAGTTATACAATAATGATGGAACATCCTTGCAATTTTCTACGAAGTTTCTTTTCAGTTAATTCAAGCTCATGCTAACCATGTACTTAGATTTGCAATAAGATTAAATTGCTGAGCAAAATATTAGTCTTCATTAACAGTTGCTCGTCTTTAGCTATCTGTAATATTGATTAAGAAAGCATTATATATTCACCAAGAAAACTGGAAGATGGGAATTTAATAACAACTAGCAATTAAAAGATGTAGAAACTAATACAGGCACTACTAAAATTGAAATAAGAAAACTATCATCACTAAATATTATTCTGTTACTTGAACTATTAATTTGGTATTGGCAAAACGAAATTAACTCTCTATTAAATTAAGTATAATAGAGTAAGGATTTTTAATGTCATCTTGTTTTAAGATTACATCTGTGAAGCATGTCTAAGTATTAAAATTATACCTAAGGATGGAGTACAAACAGTTATATTAAGTAATATCTCCAATGTTTTCCTTTCACTTTTGCTAATAGTTCGCTTCTATAATCCGCATCACTGACTTTAATTAATTCTATTTATTTGCAAGCCTGATATTTTCTTCTTCTAAACCCTATCCATAATTTTCTGCTAATTTAAAAATTCTTTCCAAAATTGAATTGGAACATTCCATATTATTTTGTCGACTCAAACCTCCTTATGCTTGTTTAGCTTATTTATGTTCAAAGCTATTCATCTTACATGTGCCTTAATAGTTCACGGATTGCGAATTTTAGTTTAGGTGATAAGCAAACCTTTATTTGGTATTACCTACCATAGCTCTCCTCCTGCTTTTCCAATTTAAATTACTTATTATTTTAAGAGCCTCCATAAGCACTTCCAATTTATACTGGATCTATTACAAAAGCAACATCTTTTTTGCAAATTTAATCTAAACACTTTTGTGCTTCATACAGATTCTGTCGGCACCCTAATTCAGGATAATTGCTATATCAGAGGTTATACCTGATCTTTATATCAATAAACATTTCAATCATACCATGAGGATATCTTATTATTTGGATGTATCAATTGTTACATTTTATATTCCCTCATATGATAAATTTGTAATTCATTAATCAAAAACATCTTAATATTCTTGTTTGAGATCCTTCGAGATTTCTTCCAAGTGATATTATTTGCTTTTGGCTATCCTGGAGGAATTTTTCCTTTTTAACAATTTAGATATTTGATTTGTTAATTAATTCCCAGAAGAACTTGATATGTGATGCCATTTACTATAACCATATTTTGTTTCAAAATTCTAAAATTAACAATTTGGGTTAATTAAGATATTAGAATAAAAATGTATAGGTTGTTGTTGAAATTAAAGCAAACAATAATTAGTCCTCATTCATCAGGTTCCGCATCAAAATGATTTCATATGGCAATTGTTGTTGACCATAACTTGAGCTTAAAGAATATCCTCAAAGTTTATAATTTTTCCTTACATTTTGGTTTATCATCTTTTCTTTCTACTATCCATCAACCAAGATTATTGTATTTTTAACTGAGCCAATCTTCCTTTCAAATCTCTTGGAGTTTATTCATTCAGATCCATCTAAATATTTTGATAAATATACTATCTCTAATTATAAGCTGATATTGTATATTTTTATTTTTCTTAAAAACCTTTAAGCGTTTATGTAAATAAATAATCAAAGAAAATAAAAGAAAAGAAAACAAACAAAATCATGAATATCAGATTCGATCAGATTCGATCAGTATCTTAAATGGTAATTTGAAGTAAAAAAATTAAATCAAAATCAAGAATTGCAATTTATTCAATCGAACACCCTGAATATCTTGTTATTAATTTTCATTAACAATAAATTTGAGATGTTTGTAGAAATTTTATTTTTCTATTCTGCTTTGACTAGAAACCTAAAAGGTATTCCATCAATTGGTAAGTGAATTAAATTATTTTGGTACTGTTTTAATGAGAAACAAAATAAATGTCTCTCCAGTTCCATATATTTGTTTGAAACACAGAACCTTGGCAACAAGAATGTTCTTTTTTTCTTTAGAGATATAAAGTGGCAATCATTTTCTCGCTTATTTTAATTCGAACACCTTAAATTGCTAGCTCAATAAGAATCCTTGATTTTACTGCTTTGTATTAAATTTGCTGACATATTAACATGGACTCAAACATCTAGTTTTATTTTTCAAAACAGCAATATATATAATAGACAGCATTCAAACAGAATTATGCAATTACTTAAATACTTATTTGCGCCTTTAATGTCTTTAAATGGCAATAAATTAAAGATTCAAAAGTATTGGCTAATAATTCATTAGCTAAATTACTTATTTTTAAACTGCATCAGCATCACTTTTCGAGACAATTATTTGAATGAACTTTAAATAATTATTGTGTTTCTCTCTGTGTTCAACATTGCAATCTCTTAAATGATAAACTGTGGCTTTTAAATGCTAGACAGCTTAAGAGTAGTTCACCTATCTTAATTATGATGTCAAGTTAGTAATGGCCTTCTATAATATGGCTCATTTATCATAATTAATGCCAATTAAAAAGTAATACAGATTCCAGCTACTATTCAATAACATATAAAAAATTCACCAAAAATTTAAATAGATGAATCATCTAGCCATTTTTTAGCATCTGCAGATTTAATTAAATAAATAAATATCATTAACATAATACAGGAAAGTAGGCTATTGGAGCAATGATATCTTCTAAAGACTTTGCTTTAAACTTTATAAAATAAGAAACTTTAGACTAAAGTGGTTTTTTACCAAGTTTATTAATGATATAAATGAATTTGGAATTTAATGTTTACAGCTTTTCAGCTTGGTTATTACCATTAAAAAACAGAAATGAAAAATTTCATCAAAAATAATCAGTTCATTTAGAGTGGAAGGTTAAGCCAATCTAAGAGATTTCAGAATAAAATATTTTACCATCAAATACTTCAGATAGGATTAAAAGTAAATTATTTTGATCTACTAAGGAATGGCAGATCGAAGGATTTATATACTAAATTTAATAGATGTGTGATCTTCTTGATATGAAGAAAAGTAATGAGAAAATATCAGAATTTACACAAGTATTTTAAAATTGTACTCACATTTACATTCAATAAAAAAATGTTTATCTCATTCCTAAATGCTATTGCCTTATTGAGATTAGAAATTTGAAAAATAACCAGATAATCATCTAATTTCTAATTGTTTAAAGGACATCTTTATTATACGAATACCGATAAATGCTATCACATTTGAGACATTTATTGATTAATAATTGCTTCATTAAGAATGTTAAATGTAATACTAAAAATAATTCTAAAAATATATATTGATAAATTATGAGATTCAAGATAACAGAATTTAAGCCCAAATTAATTCTATAATAGGGTTATATATATGCAGCCCAATACTATTCAAACATCGTTATTTACATTATTATTTATTCAAAATTTATTATAAATTTTGATGATCTTAACATTCCACCTTTCAAATAAATAAGATTAATTAAATAAATAAATAAAAAAATAAAATCTTATGTAAACATTTGAGATTGAAAAAAGAATTTGTTAAGTTCATAAATTAGAAATAGTAGTAGTTGATTTGAAATCATAAACAAGAATTGATGACAAATATTTATGCACAAGATGTCTGGCTGAGAGAGTCGATAAAGAAAATATGGCATTGTTAAATGAAGCTACAGAAATGATATAAAGTATGAAGACCCAAACTGAAAAACTTGCTAAGGAAGAGAATGTTCTAAGATTAAACAATTTAAAACAATTGTAATCATCCATAAAATCATACAAAAACTAAATCAAGATAGAAATTGAAAAATTACTATAATTAATTGATCAATAAGTGGAATAAATCCAATTTGAAATTGAATCAAAGGAATCCAAGTTAGAATTCAAAAATTATGATGAGGAAATTCAAATTCTATCAAAAAATTATATAGGAAATTTTAATTATAATATACCAAAATAACTAACATATAAGGAAAAAGACTTAGCCCTTTTCCAAATTATTTATGAATCATTGTAATCTTAGTAAAAATCGTAAAATTTTAACTAAATCATGGAATCCATAGAATTAATAAAATCTAGTGTACCAATCAATTAATCTGCTAATATCAACTAAATGCCTGCCAAAGAATTTGATCAACATGTAATTTGTAATTATTTATATTAGAAAACTCCTTATCTTAATTAGATTTGTAATAAACATAACAAGGAAATAATTATGTTAAACATAAATTAAACTGAACCAGAGTTTGGGAGGTTAGCATGCGTAGAATGTATTGAAGAAAATCCTATTTAATATATCAGTTTAAAAGAAGCAAACAAAAGATGGAATTCATTTATGGGTTAATCAGAGGATTTAATTTCTAAACATAATTTTAAAAGAGAACAATAATTTAATATGGTTGCTCAAGAAGTTAAATAACTAAAAGATTATTACAATGAATAATTATCAGAAATGATCAAAAATATAGATTTATAACTAACAAAGAATAATTCAGATATTTAAGATTTCATTAAATTAGAGAATAAAAAAATATTTGAGTTAGATGAAAAATAAGTTGAAAACATGATTAATTTATTGAGTTAAAAAGATCAAAATAAGAAAATATTGGAACAATAAGAGAAATAAGATAGACTCGATTAATTATTTTATTAGGACATAAAATATAAATTAGATTCTCTTATCAAACACGATTTGCTTTGTAAGTAATAATTAATAAAAATTCTGACATTATCAGGTAGTTATTTAATTATCAATAGATTCAAATCAAATCAACATAAATGATATACAGGAAGATAAAATAAGTCCAGAAATACATGAATTTATTTCAAAATGCTAATTATAAGATCAATATTTAAACATATTTAATGAATCAGTTAATTTATAAATAGAATTATTGAAAGAATAAGAAACTCTTAAATAAAAAGGATAAATAAATTAAATTATTGATTAAGAAGGCAAAGCAGATGCAGAATTACCAAGGACTGAATTAATTAAGACATATTATTAACAATTTGAAATAAATTCGAAGAAAATGGAGAAATTAATCATGGTTGATGAAACAGAATAAAATTTAATAGAGATGTCATCATAAAAGGAACAATTGCAACTTCAGATATAAGACGAAAAAGAAGAAAGAAAATTAATTTCATAAAAAATTTAAAATTTAGAGGAAAATTTAAACACTAATTTTTCAACTTTGGACCAAAAGATTATAAAACAAGAATAATTATCATAATAAATAGATTAATAATTACAATAACAAAAATTAGAATTGGGTTTATAAATTAATGATGCAAGCAACAAATCTTAGTTAAGTTTAGCTGAAGTATAAAGCTCCATTTCAACTGATTAATATAGATTAACTTGTTAAATAAATGATTTAAAGTCAGAACTTAGTATGGTTAATAAGGACATGAAAAATTTTCGAAAATCTTCAATTATTGATGAATAATTAAAGAAGCTTGAAGAAGAGTTTGAAATCAAATTTTAGGCACAGAATGAGAAAGTCTCAACAATAATTGAAGAAAATTAGTCTTAATTTAAAAAACAAGAATAAGAATCTGAATGTCTTTAAAAATTAATAGAGGCTTAAAACAATGCAAATTTAGAATTAAAAAAAGAAATATCTGAAATACAAGTAGAAAACATAAAATAGTTCTACTAAGTAGCAAATAAAATGACAGATTAGAGTTAGTAAATAAATAACATTATTGAATCTTTTGAATAAAGTTAAAAACAACAAATTACCCATGAAGAGTATTTAAAGCCAAAAATTGAAATCTAATTTAAAAAACTTAAATAAATCCCAATTGTAAAACCAAAATTGCTTAGAGATGATTATTGGATTAAAGTTTTTTATGTTTTATAAGAGAAATCAAAGAAATCAATAAAAAATTCAAGTTTAATATTTAGTACAAAAAATGGATTAAAAGTATAATCATTTTGGAAAGAAGTCAATAACAAAGACAATCTACTCATGATTTTTCAATCAAAAAGTGATTATATCTTTGGAGCTTATTCTCCTTGTAAGTGGGTATCTAATCTAAATACTTATGTGCAAGATGATACACTATCATCCTTTATATTTTCATAAACACATAATTAAATTTATCCTTTGAAGTAAGATAGAAAGTAATATGCAATTTATTGTAAATCTGGTTATGGACCTACATTTGGAGGTGGATCTGATTTTTACATAAATGCTAATTTCAGTGATGGTTATAGTAATTTAGGTCATTCATATCAATTTGATTAATATAAAAATGAAAGTGAAGATCCTCATTTATTTGGGTAAAATAAACCAGAAATAAAGGAATGTGAAATTTATTAAATATCATTTATTTGATATTCATTCTTTACATTTTATTAAACATTAATAATCATATACAATTAAAATTAACCAATTCAAATTTTTATTTCTAGTAATGCTGATAAAAAATATGAAATCCTAATAGATTGTTAGAATTAATTAAAATATTTAAATTACAGGATGACTTTCCACATTCTCATTAAAAGTAAATCAAAATTAATCATTATACTACATTTTGCTCAAACCTTTCTTAAATAGTTGGTTTTAGACATTAACTAAAAATTGATTACTAAGGAGCAGTTTGTATTAGTGCGAAATTTTTCACTTCTAAAAATAATTAATCAAGGAGTCAACTAATTTTATACTTTGATGTTCGAATTTTTGAGGCTAACTTTTTCCTTCTATAATTAGCTCAATTAATATAAAAAGGCTGATATAAGCAGCTGGAAGTAAGAAGATCTATCTAATTTATATTAGAGGGAGATTGATAAATTTTAATCAAAGAGCAAAATTTTGATAGAAGATGTTTCACCTGCTTTCCATTTAATTGTGAAGTCAAGCCTTAAATTGCACTTAAAATTTAAAGTGTATTTGTAATTTTATTAGTAATCACTAATTAAAATTAAGAAAGAATATATTTTCTAGATTATTCTTCACGCATTTTGTTAGATACGAAGTTTTCCAAATAAATTATATTTCTAAATTTGGATTAATAGAATTCATTAAACTTTTTCTCCAAATAAAGTTTCTTACACAAAATCATTCTTAAAGATCTGAATCAATCACCTATCCCTGTGCTGATTACTTTTTGCATTTAATATTATATGCTATTTGTATTTATATTTTACAATATGAACAAAATTTTGTATAACCATAAATAAATTATATATTAATAGAATTCAATTTTTGATTTAAAGAAACCTGGAGTTAGTATTAAGTTTATTATTAAAAATAAAATAAATGAATATCATTATGTCATAAACACAACCACAAAAGCCTGAGATAGAAGAGATTATTTGCCAAATTCATAAAAGAGAGATAGTAGCTGTAGATCTAGATTTATCAGAAAAAGGTAATTTTTAATAAATGTGTTGCATTTGCTTAGTTGAAAAAATGAATAATAGCAAGATATCTACAATTGAATAGACAAAAGAGAGAATTTAATCCCTTAAGTCATAAAGATAAGAAAATAAGACTAAATAGATCCAAGTAAGGTTGGATCATTTTAAGATCATACTAGATTAAATAATGGAGTTTAAATATAGTGTTGAGAGTACATTAGAAATAATATACAGCCAAATAAAAGCTCAGATATTTACGATTTAAAAAGAAAAATAATCTTAATAAGAAAAGTTTTAAACATAATACAATTTTTAAGAGGAAATTAGATCGTTGTCTGAATTTCTTTCAAGTGAAAGTTAAGAAAACTAATTAGAATTTTAATAGGATAGTTAGTTTATTGACGAAATAGGTAAGCAATTTGACCTTTTAATTAATGGCTCAGCATATTTCTAAACAATTGACACTTTTAAGGATGCTAAATAGAAAATTAATGAAATTAATTAAAATAACTAGATTGAATTATCGTCACTTCACAATTACAATAATTAAGTAAAATTTTATAACATTTAAGAAAACACCTAGTTTAAATAAACTTTGCCCTACACATAATAAGGAAATCATTATGATTGACATCGATAGTGAAAATAAAACAATAGAGGATAGGTTTGTCTGCGTTGATTGCATAAGTGATCATCCGAATTGCTAATATAGAACTATTGAAAAAATTAATTAGTAATGGAATCAAACTAAGAAATAGCAAGACAGGATATTTTCTGAGTTAAAGGTTAAAAGGTAAGAGAAATAGAAAAATCTGAATTAATAGATTGCAATAATGAGAAAAAATTATAATTAATAACTTAATGATATTAGCGAAAAATTAATCACAGAATTTTCTCTGCCAATAAGCAAAGCGCTTGAGATGAATAAATTTAAATAAATCTCTCTACAACAAGTAGGTAATGACGAATTACTTTTAAATATTAATTAAATGATTCTAAATGACAAAAAAAATTTGATTTAAGATTCTTAAGTTGAGTATTTGAAATCTAAAGATGTTTTGTTTTAAAAAGAGATTGAAAGCAGATTAGAGCATTTAAAATAACATGATTAATTAGATATTTAAGTTACAATAAATATTCTGCAGGATATATAAAGTATTCAAAAAAAGATTTATTTTTTTTAGATGACAATCAAATCTAAGGGATTGTTTAATTATAGTAAGAAATTTAGGAGAGTGCAAAAGCAAATTAAGGGTTATTAATTTTCAAGCAAGATTTAGATGAAAGAAAATCTTCAATTATTGATGAATAATTAAAGAAGCTTGAAGAAGAGTTTGAAATCAAATTTTAGGCACAGAATGAGAAAGTCTCAACAATAATTGAAGAAAATTAGTCTTAATTTAAAAAACAAGAATAAGAATCTGAATGTCTTTAAAAATTAATAGAGGCTTAAAACAATGCAAATTTAGAATTAAAAAAAGAAATATCTGAAATACAAGTAGAAAACATAAAATAGTTCTACTAAGTAGCAAATAAAATGACAGATTAGAGTTAGTAAATAAATAACATTATTGAATCTTTTGAATAAAGTTAAAAACAACAAATTATCCATGAAGAGTATTTAAAGCCAAAAATTGAAATCTAATTTAAAAAACTTAAATAAATCCCAATTGTAAAACCAAAATTGCTTAGAGATGATTATTGGATTAAAGTTTTTTATGTTTTATAAGAGAAATCAAAGAAATCAATAAAAAATTCAAGTTTAATATTTAGTACAAAAAATGGATTAAATGAATAATCATTTTGGAAAGAAGTCAATAACAAAGACAATCTACTCATGATTTTTCAATCAAAAAGTGATTATATCTTTGGAGCTTATTCTCCTTGTAAGTGGGTAAATAATCTAAATACTTATGTGCAAGATGATACACTATCATCCTTTATATTTTCATAAACACATAATTAAATTTATCCTTTGAAGTAAGATAGAAAGTAATATGCAATTTATTCTTATTCTGGTGTTGGACCTACATTTGGAGGTGGATATGATTTTTGGATAAGTGGTAATTTCAGTGATGGTTATTGTAAGTTAGGTCATTCATATCAATTTGATTAATATAAAAATTAAAGTGAAGATCCTCATTTATTTGGGTAAAATAAACCAGAAATAAAGGAATGTGAAATTTATTAAATATCATTTATTTGATATTCATTCTTTACATTTTATTAAACATTCATGCTAATAATCATATACAATTAAAATTAACCAATTCAAATTTTTATTTCTAGTAATGGTGATAAAAATAATTTAATAGCACATTCAAACTAACCATTGTAAATCATTAAATTTTCTCATTTATACAATTATTATTTTAACACTCAAAATCTATGAAATCTTAATAAATTATCATAATTTAATTCAAATTGGAAAAATAAAATTTATAAAAATTTAACTTACTATTCAAACCTTTCCTAAAATATTTTTTTTGGAATGTCTTGATGGTTTATGATCATAAAGGTAAGAGACAAAATGGTAAATAAGTGAAACAATCATTAATTGAACTTGATGGGTTTTTGAATGAA